AAAATCTTTCAAAAAGAAAATACATAATTATCAATATGGATTGAATTCAAAACATAATATTGATTTTTTTAAATCAAGTCATAGATAAATGTGTTGTAATTTATCAGTGTATGTAATTTATGTAAAGATATAATTACATTTAGAGCCACATGGAAAATAAAATTTTATATTCATGTATATTAAAGTAGAAAAATGAACTGAAATGATATATGCCACAGTTATAGTTGGGAGGGTATGTGGTCAGAGAGCTTCAAGCTGATCTGTCGCTCTACTCTTTATAAAACATTTGAAAAAAACATAACAATATGTCAACATGTAAGTTTTATTATATATCCTATTATTCTGTTTATATTTAAGTTCTTAAAAATTTCTTAAAATCGCACACAATTTTTTAAATTATCAACAAACTGATTCCAAGTAACTGTTTTAGAAACTTTACCCCATGGAAATAATTTGAAATGCAAAAAAACATCCTATTGTGGCTTAATTTCCAATAGCAAAGGACCTAGAAATAACTAAAATGCTTCACGATACAGTAGTTATTAAATGCTTTCTCTTATGCTTTTCATGGATTATTATGGCAACTTCACATACAATTACAGAAAAATTGGTTATTTTAAACAAACGTGTAAAATTCAAAATTTCAGAAATAAATGATTATAAATAATGAAGCTATTTATTTAAAAATTGTAAATTTTAAGATTTTTATCATTTATATTTATTGCTCACAATTTACTATACTTTCTAAATTCTACAATGCTTATGGGTCTACTACTTTGATAATATGAATTTTTTTTAAACTTACTTTGATTTATCACTCCTTCTTTTCCTTAAATTTTGAAAATGAGACCTCAAGATGTTTTCATAATAAGAGGAAGACACTGCTCCAGATGTATTAGTCATAGGTGATTTCTTAATAGGCATATTGATAGATCACAAACTAAAGAGAAATATTAAATTTTATATTAAAATACAAATGTATTCACAGTACCAAATAATACATTTCACACAAATTCATTATTTATGGGGAAACAAGTGGCAAGAAAATCAGGCTTAAGAATGAAATTATATTAAGGAAGTACTTATTTATTTATTTTAACACTAGTTTAATTTTTATACATAATTACCATTATTAAGGAAGTATTTAGATTTAAAGTGTCAGACTTAGGAGTCATTNAGATCACAAACTAAAGAGAAATATTAAATTTTATATTAAAATACAAATGTATTCACAGTACCAAATAATACATTTCACACAAATTCATTATTTATGGGGAAACAGGTGGCAAGAAAATCAGGCTTAAGAATGAAATTATATTAAGGAAGTACTTATTTATTTATTTTAACACTAGTTTAATTTTTATACATAATTACCATTATTAAGGAAGTATTTAGATTTAAAGTGTCAGACTTAGGAGTCATTCTGAATAGAAAACCCATGTTCCTTCTATTATGTTACTACTACTATAAAATTATCCTTTCACAGAATATTTAGACTTTATTGTACTTTACCAGGTTTATCAGCAAAACCGATGAAAGACAAGCATAGCAATTCAAAAAATACAACCAGACTGTTTTAGTTAACTACTCTGTGCCTCTGTTTCTTCTCCTGTACAAAGGGAATAGTACCATCATAGAACTGCTATAACAAATAAGTAGGTTAATATATGTAGATTGCTTAGAATAGAGTTTGACTTGTAGGAAGTTTTATATAATAGAAGTGTTTATGATCATTATTAGATTACTATGCATTGTTTTTTAAGGTTACTTAAAATTTTTTTTTATGACTCCTGTCTTTTTGCCATTTAGATTATGTTTTCTCTGTCCTCACATCCAGATGTATTTTCCTTTTGAAGCATGTCTGAGCACATTTTATGAGTGTAAATCCAAATCTGGGGCACACTATTTGTGTTTAGTGAAGTATTTAAATATCAAAAGGGAGTAATGAAATAGACAGTCAGATTTTTATTGAACTAGTTTGCATTTCATTTTTAAGATAGCTAATTTCCAACACTGGTCATTATATTAGTGAAGGTTCTGGCAGGAAACAGATGACACACTCAAATGGGGTAACCGAATAAAGAGACTCTTTTCAGTGAGGAGGGCAGTTATTTACATTTTAAAGAAAGAAAAGAAAACCCGAAATGGTTCCATTCTCAGGGGCTGACAAGAAGGGGGGTGGAGGGTGGGGTAAACCATTACCACTCTCAGGATGGAGGGGAAGAGGGCCCAGGAAGAGGAGCAGTAGGAGAGTGGTCCAGAGTTGCAACCAATCTGAGGCTGTCTGCTAAGAGGGAGCCTGGAGGACAGAAACTGGATCTAGCTCTCCTGCACGCCATTCCAACCATCTGCCTTTGCTTCCCATTAGCTATGCCAAACTCGAAGCCAGAAAGGGCAGGGCAGAGAGCAGAAGGAGATGGAAAGTGGACCTGGAGGAGTGATGGGGAAATACTCCGCCCAAAATAGATTATAAACTCCAAACACCATTATCTATTGCCATTGGTTATAGCAAGTTCTGCTTCTAATGATCTATATCCATTAGAATGTAAAGCAAACATATTTTTAAGTCAGTAGCTATACTGAGCTATATACGGAAATGTTATTCAGAGTGGGCCTCACTTTAATGTAAAATACAGGTTATTCCCAAACAGAATTAATGTATTCAGAAGTTTGTTGTTTTTTTTAACAGTTGACAACATCACTTTGGATAGTTCCACTTTAAAAGGCACTCAGGAAAATAACCACAATTATTAATGAATGCACGGTAAAGTACACATAAGCAGAGAACAACAATAATAAAGATGTGGAGATATTCAAAAGAGGTAATTTGATAAATCTAGTAATAAATGTTGCAAATTTGGCAAGTATTTATAGAGTCATATAAAATTATGGAAATAAGATATTTAAGTACCCTAAATAAAGACAAAATCTTCAAGAGAAGACAAAAAGAAGCCCACCGTTTATAAAACGTTACTTATTTCAGAAGGTTAGAAATACATATTTGAGTCAGATGTACTCTTAGGTTTGTTTAAAAAAATTTAAAACATTTAATGCCAAATAAATAGAAAGAAAAAGTACAGGGCACCAAAGGAGAAAAATAATTGAAGGGAAACTGACTTGAAAGCAAACTGGTCATTGTGTGTATGTATTAGGCTTATTGACCTTGAGCGTTTAGCTGTCTCCTGATATATTTCACAGGATTTACTGCGATTCCTCATATTTTTTTGAGGTTTCATGAAGTTAGAGACTATTTTAGAAATCCTCTCTTGATCACTGAACCTATTGTCCAAAGACTCCTCACATCTGTTGCTAACAGTGGTAGATATTTGCACCATCTGCTCAATAAGCAAGTTTCACAACACCCTGTTGATGAGACGTCCCCAGATTGGATGGGTAGAAAACGTCAAATTGCTAAAAAAATTTCTACATGCTTATTCTCGATTTCTGGCTTATTTTGGGAGTACTTATCTTGGGAGTAACAGTGCTTAAACAACACTAGTTTGTGAACCACTATTTGAACAGTACTGTGATATATACGAGAGGCACTATGACTCTCTGATATATTTTATTGGTTAGGGTTGCTTTTTACTGAGAGTAAAAGAAACAGTAACCAAATAACCTCAAGTGTCCAAAAAAGAAAACATGAATGTCTTCAGAAATGTTTCCCAAAGAAGTCTTGAAATTAAACCCTCAGTGACATAAGTAAAGAAAGA